GAGCCTGGAACTGCAGTATCTCAGTATCTTATGGTTCTTTTGAGATTGCAAGCCCTCGATGGCAGCACAAATAAACAAAAAACTTGACAACTTTCATTTTAAAAATTTGCTCAGATATTTGTGGAAGAATATCGACTAAGTGCCAGGTACTATGCTAGGCTTTGGTGATTCTACGAGAGCAAAGTTGGTTTCTACCCTCAAGAAGCATAGTCGAGAGGAGGCTATAGACAAACAATAGGGAATTAAGTGGCAGTGAGCCATGTGCTATGTTAGGGACCTAATCCAGGCCTGTGGTGGGGGAAGAGGGAGATGCAGGGGCACCCAGAGAAGGCTTGATTTGAATGGTTATTAGCTTATTTCACTGATGTATTGTGGTCTTATGTTAAATTACAAATTTTTAAAAGTATCCAGAAATCTGAGCACAGGATAAAGAGGAATTAGGAGTGCATTCACTTACTTAGCTAATGTTTATTGACGTTATGCTTGACACAGTACTCTGGGAACACCACAATAAATAAAAACTTGTCTCTACTCTTAGGGGCTCAAGTGCTCTATCTGGGGAGGCTCACACCTTTAAATAAGTAGTTACAAAGCAAGACAATCTGTTCTGTAGTGGCAGTATGTATGAAGCGTGCAAATCCCACCTGTACTTGTATAGCCTCCTACTTTGATTTTGGGTCTTTGTTTCATCTTGCCTTAGTCTCATCTGCGTTAACACACTTGTTTCAGAGAGGTATGAGGTTGGTGGAGGCAACGGTGAGGATGAAGGGACACGATGGACCGGCCTGGCACAGGAGAGAGAGAGAGACAGAGTTTGAGTTAGGAGTCTAGAATTTAAATGTATTATCCCAATAATCTTGACTTATGTGTTTTTAGCCTATTTGTATGTACTTTATATATATTCATTCTCATGCATGCACAACTCTTCTGATACTTTTGCTGACTATTTAAAAAATATATATGTGGCACTGTCCCCTGTTAGAGTGCCATCATGTTTCCAAGCAGATCGTATATAAGAATGTGTTTCTTGCTTTATTCCACAAAGCTTTGAGACAGCCCACAGTGAGACCTTATGCAGTAACGTGAACATGTCAATAGCAATAACAAATGGGTAGATGGGAAGGTTCAGATGAACAAATGCTGATAAGTTGTTGGTAAGGAGTTCTCAGATAAATGTTATAATATTTCAGTTAAGATTAGAAAAGAAAATATTAAAATAACAAAATAGCTTATAACAGTAGCCTATTTGTGCCAGCATTCTATCTCTGAGAGAGGGACCGAAGGGACATTTTGTCTACAAACTTAGCAATTTGCCTGCCATGACATTTATGGGTCTAGTTTTATGCTTATCTTCAAAGTAGCAATAATTTTTTTGAGTGCTTTTTATGCACCATGCTCTGTTTAAAGCCCTTTTAATCATCAAAATTAACCCATGAGGTAGGTATTATTTTACTGATGAGGAAACCAAGGCTCAGAGAAGTTAAGCAACTTCCTACGATCACACAATTAACCGAACATTATTAACCAGCTCCTAGATAACAGTAAGGATTCAACCCAGGCAGACTGGCTCCCAAACCTATGCTCTCTCTAACTCTCCCAGATGTGTGTTTAAATATGAACAAAGAGGAAATGTCTACACAAAATGGGTGTTTGTACTTTATTTCTCAAAGAGGTTATCTTCAGATACCAACGAAAATGAAGCCAAGTCAGATGAAGAGCCACTCCTGAGAAAGAGTTCTCGCCGATTTGTCATCTTTCCCATCCAGTACCCCGATATTTGGAAAATGTATAAACAGGCACAGGCATCCTTCTGGACAGCAGAAGAGGTAAGTGGTATCACTTTCATCAGCATTCATGTTCTGTAGTACAGTGTTCACATCTTCTGTTAGAGGACATTGAAAAGTTTTATATTGTAGGATACATTGAATAAGATCAGTTGTATAAGATAATGTGTCAAATTACTGAGACTAAATACAGTGTTCTCCATTGTTTTGTGTTTAGACCACTGTCTATAAACACTTCTCTTGCTGCAAAAATGGCATTCAGTCAGCCAGATGTTTACTAACAATATATTTTAGAATGTTTTCTATTTTTAAACAGATTTTTGGTTTGCTATCACCAAATAAAACTAGTCTTTACTTATGGTCAGCAGAATAAATGAAATTGTGTTTATAGCCAGAAAAATGAGAGTGAAAGCCTTAGGGACCCTGCTTTCAATTGAAAGACTCATCTGATTGTATAGGAGGAGCTGTCACACGAAGAGTGTGACCGCCCAGGCAATGCACTCACATCTGAGCTGCCAGCCTGAATTCACAGTGCTCCTCCCAGGCTGGCTCTGCCCTCAGACACATCTAACCTGGTACAGCTGCCCCAGCAGACAGTACTGCTGTAGAATGCTTTCTGTTAATGTGGCATTTTCCACCTAGGAAATGGATTGAACACAACAAATTAGGAAATACTTGCTGGTTTGGTAAGGACAATTGGTCATGAGGGGGTTGCTCTGTAGTCTAACTGAATGCACAAATAGTCATTGTCTTCATCTTTGAATATGATGGATGATACCTGCATAGCACTCTTGCTCTTTGTGTATGTGTATATTTATCTATATAGATACATATATCTATTTGGATAGATATATTTGAATCTGTCTGTCTGTTTAGGTACAAATCTGGGCTCTACCACTTACCAGCTGTGGAACTAGGAAAGTTGCTTAACCTCTCTGTGTATCCTCATCGGTAAACTGGGCTAACAGTACCTGGTTCATTGGGTTGTTATGAAGATTAATGAGATAAATCTCTTTAATGAGATTAATGCAATGTTTAGCAAGGTGCTTTTTGTTTTGTTTTATATTTTTGTATTTTGAGGAAGATTGGCCCTGAACTAACATCTGTTGCCAATGTTCCTCTTTTTCTTTTTTCTCCCCAAAGCCCCAGTACATAGTTGTATATCCTAGTTGTAGGTCCTTCTAGTTCTTCTATGTGGGATGCCACCTCAGCATGGCTTGATGAGCGGTGAGTAGGTCCGGGCCCAGGATCTGAACCCGCGAACCCTCAGTCGCTGAAGCAGAACTCGCGGACTTAACTGCTATGCCACTGGGCCAGCCCCTAACGCAATGTTTAGAGTGTTATTTGGTACTTAGTAAGCACTAAATAAGTGTAAGCTATTATTTTACACAGAATGGGGGAGATTTACACTAAAAATGAGAAGGCACCAATTTTTGAAGCTAATTTTACCCACTTACCCATCTTTGTTATATTGTATTGTTACACTGTTAACTTCTTTGTTATAATGTAGTTAACATATAGAGCAAAAAGCCAAAACAAAAATTTAGTATTTTCAAATTGGGTCATGGTGCTTGGCACACCGGAGTGTCCCTAACTGTCTGTGGTTTTTAGAAAGTTTTTTGTTAGATATGGGTAAGAGAACAAACGGAGTACACAGGTGGCTTTTTCATTCATCATGTTAAGAAGGTACTTGTGATACTTGGGTTTCTTGAAATTCACTTGAAAATTACTTGCATCTTTTAGCAAATGTAATATATGTTGTACTATGACTAAGAAACATTAATTTTTAAAAGTTAAAATATACAGGTTGGTACATATTTTGTAGGCAGCTTATAGGAAGGTTCAAATATGTATTTTGAAGGGAAGTCAAACACATTTTTACTTCCACATATTTTTTTATTTAAACAAATTGTGTAAGTTACAATTTAATCAACTTCAGACTTCATTGTTTTATCTGTGCTTTAGCTTTATTCCTAAATATGGCTGATCATCAGAAACCTTGATTCAGAAGACAAAGGTCTGGGGTTTGGGGTTCTTTTTTATAAAACAACCAGGCAATTCTGATAACCAGTAGTTTGGAATCAATATTTAGATGGGGAAATTGAGAATCTAGTCAAATGAGATAAAACTGGGCAGGAAGGTTTATGTTTTAGAAATGGAAAATGACCAATGTATAAATAAAATTTATAAGACCTTTTGAAGCTGAGTGTTTGAAGAGAAATGTTTAATATTTAAGAGCAAGCATATTATATTAAAATTTAATATCAGGAGTATAATACATAACAACCAGGCAGATGTCCTTCAGTTAAACCTGAATTGAGCTCTTAAGATAGGACCTGATTTTTAGCTTGCATAGTTTATAAAATGTATACAAATATCTCCCCCTCGCTGCCCCATTGTATCCCCAACAGTTAGAACAGTGTCTGGTGTGTAGGTGCTCATTAAACATTTAAAGAATAAAGTAATGGGAAAAAGGATTTTAGAAAAGAGCACAAATAATTAAAAGGATGAAACAGCCCTTTCTAGAATGGTCAAGAAGATTAGGGCTTTGTTAGAATAAATAAAAGAAGGACAAAGGACAATTACATATTTCGAATGTTTATGAGGTTACTGTGAAACATACTTAAGAGATCTTCTGAGACAAAATGATATCTACAAGGTACATTTAAAGACTATTTTAAAATTGTAGATTCCACCAAACTCTAGAGTGCATCTCTCTATTAATTTGAAGGACTAGCTCTAATAAACATTTTCAAAAATATTTCTATTCCCAGAGGAAGCCATACCTGTAAATTGCTTTAAAACCCAGGTTGTTACCTGCCTGACATTACTTCTGGGTATAAAAGTAGATTAGCCAGCAGTAAAGTAGCAGCTATGATTGCTTAACAGGTGCCTAATTATCTAACACTGTAGTAAATATTATATAAAATGTTAAAAAATTGGCTGCTTAAAGTCATTAGTTTATTCACCTCAGTTCCTTCTTGACCAGTTTCTAGTCTCTCTCCCCGCTTTTGCCCCTTCTTTCATTTGTTCCAGTGCCACTAAATTATGTTTTTTTCTGCAGCCTTATTGATATAATTGACATATAACATTGTGTAAGTTTAAGGTGTACAACACATTGATTTGATACACTTATATATAATATGAAGTGATTACCACCGTAGGGTTAGCTAACACCTGTATCCCATCACGTAATTACAATTTCTTTTGTTTTTTGGGTGAGAATAGATTATGTTAATTTTGATATTTTGAAAGTACATCCTGGCCGGCTTCTCAATTAGCCAAAAAATGGATTCCTTCATGATGTTTTTATTTTATTGTGTTCCTTTGTAATTGTCTTAGTTTGGGCTGCTATAATAATGCCATAGACTGGATGGCTTACAAATAACAGAAACTTATTTCTCACAGTTCTAGAGGCTGGGAAGTTCAAGATCAAGGCGCTTGGCAGATTTGGTATCTAGTGAGGGCCCACTTACTGGTTCATAGACAGCTGTCTTCTTCATGTGTGCTTACATGGCGGAAGGGGTGAAGGAGCTTCCTGAAGCCTCTTTTATAAGGGCAGTAATCCCATCCCTGAGGGCTCCACCCTCATGACCTAATCACTTCCCAAAGTCTCCACCTGCAAATACTGTCACACTGGGGATTAGATTGCAACATATGAATTTGGGGGGTGGGGGGGGCACAGATATTAAGTCTATAGCAGTAATGTTAACATTTTTCCTTTTTCACATTTTACTGAGGATGAGGTGTCCCTCCTTAACTTTGAGATGGAAGTTTGTTTTCCAAACGCTTTGAAAAGAATTTAACTCCAAGTTAAAATTTTTGAAAATCTTTTTATTTCAGGTTGACTTATCAAAGGATCTCCCTCACTGGAACAAGCTTACATCAGATGAGAAGTATTTTATCTCTCACGTCTTAGCCTTTTTTGCAGCCAGTGATGGAATTGTGAATGAAAATTTGGTAAGATTTTTGTTTTATTTTACTTTTGTTCCCATTCACCAGTTAAATGATGATAATGGCAGTAAGATAATTAGACTGAGCCTGAAAAATGATGTCTAAGAAGTGAACTACATGAAGCTTAACTCTTGAAAATGGTTTTCTGATGAAGTGTCAGAGAAAAGGATACATTTCTGTCATTTCACCAGCAAAATATCATGAAATCAGGCATATTGTACCAATCAAAACTACTTATAATGCGTGAATGTGAGTTGGATTTTTACCCTTAGATAGTAATCCTAATAGAGAACCTGCACCTTCATTACTCTTCTGGAGGTCTGTAATAGAGCACTAGGTTCTGGTTCCCCATTTTTAAACTTGCATTATGGTTGGCCAGGAGGCATGCTTTCTTCTTAAAGAGAATAGAAGGATACAAACTTTCCTTATGAACTGGTAGGGGCTTCACGAGATCTGCTGTCTACTACTAGAAAATAAAAGTGACTTAAGGTCAATCTTGCAAAGCAAAATAATTATTTTTGGTAGATGTTCTAAAATTTACTTGGCTATATAGACGGTATCTCCACCTAACAGGTCAATTCATTTAATTGCTTAAGAATACGTTGTGCAATTTATTGTACAGTGTTAATAGGTAAACAGTACTGCTTAAAATAATCCATATGCGTGGTTTGTGGCATGACAGGCAATTTTTAAGTGATAATTCTGATGTCCAGATTCTGATTTGCAGCCTTTAATGAGAGCTCACAGAATTGGATATATCTGTTTCTCTTATTTTCTTAGGTGGAGCGCTTTAGTCAGGAGGTGCAGGTTCCAGAGGCTCGCTGTTTCTATGGCTTTCAAATTCTCATCGAGAATGTTCACTCAGAGATGTACAGTTTGCTAATAGACACTTACATCAGAGATCCCAAGAAAAGGTATTACTGCTGGGATTTTATTTACAAAGGTTTATCCTATTGTTTGATTATGTTAAGAGCAGAGTTTATGCCAAAAGTAAATGTTAGGGAAATATTCAAATATGGAAGTTTAAGAGTATAATATTTTCTTTCTTTCTTTTTTTTTTTTTTGTGAGGAAGATCAGCCCTGAGCTAACATCCATGCCAGTCCTCCTCTTTTTGCTGAGGAAGACTGGCTCTGAGCTAACATCTATTGCCAATCTTCCTCCTTTTTTTCCCCAAAGCCTCAGTGGATAGTTTATGTCATAGTTGCACATCCTTCTAGTTGCTGTATGTGGGAGGCCGCCTCAGCATGGCCGGAGAAGCGGTGCGTCTGTGAGCACCCAGGATCCGACCCCAGGCTGCCAGTAGTGGAGCGCGTGCACTTAAACCGCTAAGCCATGGGGCTGGCCCAGGAGTATAATATTTTCTATTGCTTAATAATGTGTTGGGTTAAAAAATAACTTGTATAGAACCTGTTAATCTGTGGAGCTCATTCTGTTTAGCAATTGAGTATTTGAATTTAGTCAATTTTGTATCAGACCAGATCCAAACCTCTGAGTTTTATTTTCATTTCTGTATTGTATAGACATGCAAAAATACAGAAAAACTATAGACTTTGTAGCATACGATATAGAGTTGCAATTATTATCTCTGATTAACCTATGAAAATTTATTCTGATTAAGAAAAACATGTGAATAACTTTGCCATTAATTCTTTTGTTTTTTTCAGGGAATTTTTATTTAATGCAATTGAAACAATGCCATACGTTAAGAAGAAAGCAGATTGGGCCTTGCAATGGATAGCAGATAGAAAGTCTACTTTTGGTATGTAGCTTTAATTTATATATGATCAAGTTTGCCTTGGGTGATATAACACTAGTTTATGTGGTGTGACTGTCCAGTACTAATCAAAGTCACAGAATGAAAAAGGAGTACAACTGTCTCAATATGCACCTTTGGTAGAATCACTATTTCTAATAATTAATTAGAAACTGGTGATAAAATAATCTAAAGCTGTTATCTATTCTGTTTAATAAGTTGAAAGGTTAAGGTGTCAGTGCGTAATTATAGGTAAATAGGAGTCAGTCACATAGAATCTGACAAGAGTATTATAGCAATCCACAATGTATATCTGCTTTCAGGAATGTTTATTTTAAGGATTTAAAGCAAGTCAAAGTCTTTACACTTTTCAGGGAACAAATATGTAGTTTCTGAAAAACTAAAAATTAGTGTACTCAACTAGGGCAAGAAATAGTTTGCAAAAATAGGTTTATTTTTAACAGATAATAAATGCAAACACCGTTCTGGATGAGTTGAGATTGAATAACATTTTTTTAAGGAAGCAATTAACATTGTAAGCTATACATAGTTGCTCAATGACTGTTTATTAAATCTAATAAAATATTCAGATATATCATTTGAATAGCTCTAAGTACCTGTCTCATTCTCATCTATTTCATAATTGGTGATCTTTACTTTGTGGTTTTATTCATTATGTGGGGAAGCAGGTCTCAAAATTTTTGGTCTCAGGACTCCTTTGCACTCTTGAAAGTTATTGAGGACCCCAAAGTGCTTTTATTTGTGTGGGTTATTGATATTTCCATATTAGAAATTAAAACCAAGAAACTTTAAAAATATTTATTAATGCATTTTAAAATAATAGTAGTAACCTGTTATATTTTAACATAACATATATTTATGGAAAAACACTATATTTTCAAAAAAAAATTAGTGAGAATGCCATAGCTTTACATTTTTGCAAATCTCTTTAATATCTGACTTAATAGAAGTCAGCTGGATTATATGTGCTTCTGCATTCAATTTGTTGTAGAATGTTGTTTTAGTTGAAGTATACAAAGAAAATCCACCTTCATACAGGTATGTCGTTAGAGAAGGGAGGAGTATTTTCCCAGGCTTTTCAGATTGTTGTGGATATGTCGCATTGCCTCTGGAAAACACCACTGTACGCTCATGAGAGAATGGTAGTAAAAAAGATAAATAGTGCCTTAGTATTATGAAAATGGTTTTGACCTCACAGACCTCCTGGGTCTGTGGATCTCCAGGGATCCCCAGACGACACATTGAGAACCAGTGATGCAGTATGAGGTATGGGCAAGCATGTAGTATATCAGGGAAGAAACAGATATATTTGCATTGCCTTTGGTTCATAAAAATCAATGAGAATTTATGGAAAACTTCTGCAGATCCTAGTCCTCACCAGAGAGTGATTTAGGAGGCACAGGCAGGACTGAGGAATCTGCGTTTGATACTCAGCTGATTCTCTCACAAGGGGTTTGAGAAGCACACTATGAGAAACATTGGCTTAGAGAAAAAAGAAGAGAAATATCAAAGTGTTCAGTATGCACTGAAAATATTGGTGTGGATAGGTACTGATGGAAAATGATGAACTGGCTCGCACAAAGCATGTATTTCATGACACTGCCAAAGAAAGTAACCTGGAAATAGAGAAAATAGAGGAGGGTGGCAGTCAGCATGCAACAACATCGGGGGCTCCAGTTAAATTCTCCATATTTCTTACTCTCAAGGTAAACCCCATTTAGGGTTCTGATTCAGGGTCTCAGAGGAAAGAACATGGTCTACAGTGGTGTAGGGGGAAAGGAATGGGTGGTGGGAAAGGGAAAAAGTGAAGAGCACATTGGTGGCTTTCCTCTTGGGGAGTGGAGCTAAAAGACAGTAACATGAAAATACTGTCTTGCTTTGCAGCACACCTGTACATCCCTTTAACCAGCTGGAAGTACAGTTTTAAGAACTAATTGTGCCACCTGTGCCATTAGTAGCTTTAGGTTGACAAAGCCAGATCTTTCATCTGGCTTAGGGCTTTGCCTAGCATTTTTGGTGACCTTGGTGACTTCTGCAACCGAGTAGAGCCCAGTATAGCAACTGTTCTTTCCTCACATCCAGACTCCTCTATTCCTTTACCTTTAGCTAAAAAGAGCCTAAGACTACTCCTTAAAAAAATCATTAGTTTGTTTGAAAGTTGACATGTTATAAGGAGACTCAATTCTTGTAGAGCTAAAAATTCCTAATTAAATACCTACTTAATTTTTAAAATGTCTTTGAAGAACTTTATAATGTTAAGTACCTAGATTCAGCCTTACTATATGTTACTGAAGTTACATTTCAAACCTCAAAAAAAGTATTAGTTAACAATCTTATTTCGTTGCATCGCAGAGGTCAGCTGTATCTTAGAAATACATCCTCCTTTTCTATCCCTAAAACAAATTGTGAAACCTTCACATTCGTTATGGCTTTTAGAAGAAATGTTTTGGAAAGATCTTTTTAGTTCACATCTATTCTCTAAAATTTGTAAAATTTACCCCTTATAATCCGTTAATCCTGTCCAAAAAAGAATAGCCTTCTATAACTATGATTTTCATTTTTTAGCATTCGTGTGAATGCATAGAATAGTTAAAATAACAATTTTCCTCTTATTCACAATATTTGTATTAAATTATAGTCTAGTTCCCTTACAGATAAATGTCCACATGACATCACCTTTATGTCAATTAAAAATGTGTCAATGATAACTATCCATTATTTTATTAATAGTAAGATGAAAAACACAGTAGTCTATATGTTAATCTAATGACAAATCTCCATCTTAAAAGAATATAACTAGTCTAAAGAGCCATTTTTGTTTTTAAGAGAGTGAGCAGAACATAGTTATTATTATTATTATTATATTTTAATGTGTAGCATATACCACACTAAAAATTCTTCTCTTGGTAATTCCTTCTACACAGTATGTACTCAGTAAGTGCTTATTTAATTTCTATTGTTATTTTTTTCAAAGTGACTTTTTAAATTATGTTTATAAAGATAAAATACTATAAAAGTTTTTCTGATGTTTTGGGCTATTAATAGACAAGTATTTGGGCCGGCCCTGTGGCTTGGTGGTTAAGTGC